CCTCCTCCTCCTCCTCCTCTCCTCCTCCTCCTCCTCCTCCTCCTCTCCGCCTCCTCCTCCTCCTCCTCCCTCCTCCTCCTCCTCCTCCTCCTCCTCTCCTCCTCCGCTATCCCCCCCCGCTGCCGCCCAGGGGCGCGGCGCGCCGCGCTTACCACCCCGTCGGCTTGGGGCCATCGCAGGCGCGGCGTCGAAGCGCGCGCGCAAGGGGCCCAGGGGCGGCGCGGCAACGGCTCGCGCTTCAATCGAGCGCTCGCCCAATGTAAGCATTTTCCGAACATTTGCTGCGGTTCAATTTCGAATTCGCGCGTCGGCAGTTTCCTGCGTCGAGTTTCCATTCGCCACTCCTGAACATTAGCGCCCGCCGCCCCGCGTTTTCGAACGCAGTCGTTGCGCCGGGGGGCCGCCTTGAACTTTGATTCGAACTTTCGGTTTGGAGGCTTCTTTTGAATTCGAACTTCTGAACCCCCCCCCGCCCGAACTGCAGCCCGAACTTTGGTTATTTCCCGGGGGTGACCGTTTCTGCCCCGCTCAGCCACTTACGAGATTGGGTCTCGTCATTTGTACGATGGCCCCCGTCGGGCCAACCCGAGTCCCCCGCGACCGACTCCCGCGTCTTCCCGACGACTAAGCGAAGCCCACGTCGATGCCCCTCGAGAGGCCAAGCGGGCCGGTGCGAAAACGCTGCCCCCACGTTTCCAGGAACAAGATTCGGTGTCGCTCCGATTGCACTGCGTTCTTGACCATCTACCTAATATAGTTGCCGTCGCTTTTCCAAATGTCCCCCCGCCATTTCTCGTCTTCTCTTGCCCGCGTTAGGCCTCCGATGGAGGCGCCTGCGCGGGCTTCTCGCTTCTCTGGATCCGTCTAACGCCCTGTCGCGTATCGAGACTTTTGCGGGCGAGTGGGCAACTGGCGGTGAAGCGAAGACCCTCGTGCAGGGCAAATGTAGGTTCGAATGCGACGGACCCGATTCTATTGCTCATTCTATAATGGGCGACCCCCCTTGAACTACATCCCTCGTTCCTTGCCCTTGACTCGCCGGTTTGGCTTGGTTTGGAAGGCGACCCCGAAAGGGTGGAAAACGTCCGCCGGAGGACGCAATGCAGCCCAACATTCGCCCTGTTCACATATCCCATATGCTTCGGCGCGTCCTCGGCCAGCGCGAGATCGTCTCGCCCGCTCCTGTGGCGCAGGCGCGTCGCGCTGTTCGAGCCGCCCTCGGTATAAGCTCACCAGGACACGTTTGCCATGGCCACGGGCGCTCCCCCTCCTCCTTTTCCTCCTCCTCCTCCTCCTATTCCTCCTCTTGTTCCTCCTCTTCCTCCTCCTCCTCCTCTTCCTCCTCCTCCTCCCTCTCCCCCTTCTCCTCCTTAGTTGTCCTTCGGCCCCCCTCTCTCCCCGTCTCTGCATCGCCCCCTTCTCCTCCCCTCGCCGCCTCCCGTACTTCCTCCCCCGCCCTCCCTCCCCCTGCTATCCTACTCTTCGTGCCTCCCAAACTGCGGCCGCTGGATAGTTCGAGTGGCGGTCAAAGAGTAGTGCCATCTGCGGGGGGGGGTCAATTTGGCGGGTGTAGCAGGCGCCTGCCACCCGCCAGGTGTACCAGGCCTTGCAGTCCACGTTCGGTAGAGGGCGCGGTTCAGTCCAGCAGTGGGAGGCCCTGCGTTTCGCGCAAGGCCCCGTGCCTCTTGCGATGCCATTGCGGGGCGAGCACCGTGGGCGCGAGGGCGCATTTGCCAGCCGTGTGCGCGAAATTCGACGGTCGAGGGAGGTTCGATCTCTTCTGGCAAGCCTTCCTTTTCAATGCCAGTGTGTTGAGGATATGTCGTACCAGTAAAGCAGTCAGTATTGTTCAAGCGTTGCTCTACCATCCACCTTCTCCTCCTGCGGTTCCTCCTCCTCTTCCTCCTCCTCCTCATCCTCCTCCTACTCCGCCACCCCCTCCTCCTCCTTCTCCCGATCCGTGCCGTCAAATCTTTACTGGCAGTGATACTCCTGCTGGGGGTTGGGATCCGTCTTCTTGCCCCCCCTGCCCCCCCCCCCCCCCGCACTTTTGGCAGCATGCAGGAATCAGCGCCGAGTCTTCCAGTATGCCTCGTTGTTGGAGTCGTATTCGGGAGGATTTGCCCCGATGCCCTTTGTCTCCTGCCCCTCAGTCCACTGCTGTTTCTTACCGTGGCTGTCTTTCCCGAACATGTTTCAACACCCTTCCTTTGAACAGGCACTCGTGTTCAATTCCCGTTTTCACGGCCATTGCGTCGTAACGAATCCCGTCGCCGTACCATCGTGATCGCTGCCACGATCGTCATCGCCAGCCACTTCACCACCACATGCATTTGCCAGCAACGCCTTCTATCCAGCTGTCTGCTGCAAGCGCCGGCGCCGTGCCAGTGCAGCTGCATAGCAGGAAAGTGGCTAAGTATGAGACCCGATTCAGTTAAGCGCCCTTTCTGAACTGGCGCGGGTCTTACACGTCCGCTTCTCGCAGCCTTGCTTTCCTCCTGCTCATCCTCCTTTTCTTCCCTCCTTCCTCCTCCCCCCTGTCACCCCTCGTCACTCCTTCCTCCTCCTCCCCCCCCCAGTCTCCCTGTTGTAGGCGTCGTGGAAGCTTCCTGGGGGCTGCTTTCGGGCCTCATGGGGGACTCTCGCGGCCTCATTGTGGCTTGATCGGGCCATCTTAGGGCCCTGTGGTCGACATGTCTTGAAACTGTTTTGGAAGACGAAAAGCGTCGAACTCAATCAACACTATTTTCATTATGCCGTCGACCACCCTTTGGGTGATATGTAGATGTTGGGGCATGGGGCGATGGTCTTGCACGGTCATGTGTATCTCGATCGTCTTATCGGTTTTCATGCCGATTTGCACTTCGACTATTTGAATTGTGCAGGCTGGCATGCATCTCGATGTGACCTCAGACTTGCATGCCGACTTGCATTTTACTTTGCACTCCGATTTGCATTTTTACTGAATCGCTTCGATCAGTCCGCTGGCCCATATTGCGCGCCGTTGTCGACTGACCGAGTGGTCTTTCGCGGTTCGGAGTTGCAGGGGTTGCGGCTGTTTTTATCAGGCTTTGCGTTCGGCATGTGAGGCTTCTTTGTGGCCACTGGGGGAGTCTTGAACGCGTCGCGGGCCGTCTGGAAGCGTTTTGCTTATGGGGACTCTTTCGGGAAGCATCTTAGTGGCCTCTTGGGGTCTCTTAAACGCGTCGGGTCGTTGGCACTTGCTTGCGTGCTCGGGGGGGCGTTTGGGAGGCCTCCTGGGGCCGCTTGGGGGCCTCCTGGGGGCCTCCTGAGGGCCTGGGGGCCTCTTGGGCCTCTTAGGGGCCTCTTAGGGGCCTCTTAGGGGCCTCTTAGGGACTTTGGGGGGCGTCTTGGGGCCGAGGGCTCGACATTTTGTTTTGTGTTCCCCCCCTGGGGCCCTCCTTGGGGCCTCTTGGGCCCTCTTGGGGCGGTCTTGGGGGCCTCTTGGGCCGTCTTGGGGTGTCGGGAAGCCGAAAAGGTGGAAACGCCACAATCTCTCCAACACCTCAGGAGCAAAAACAATGATTTGTGCCTCTTGGGGCCCTCTTGAGAGTGCTCTTGGAGGCCTCTTGGGCCGTCTGGGAGCCATCTTGGGCGTCTTGGAGGGATCTTGTGGCATCTCGGAGCTCTCTTGTAACATCTTGAGGGGCTCTTGGCGGCCTCTTGGCCTTTCTTGGGGCTCTCTGGGCGGCCTCGAGGGCGACGCCCAGGAGGAAAACCATCTCTGACCCGAGTCGCCCGGGACATGCCGGGGGTACTTTTCGTCTGGGGACCCCCAGGGGCCGCCCCACGCGCGCGAAATAGAATTATTGTAAAGCAGTTACCGAAGATCTTAACACGCCTCTGGCCCGTTGGGCCAGCGAATTATTAATTGGACGTACATGCCAATCTGCAATTCGAAGTTAATGCATGCGTTCATGTCGATTGCAGTTCGATTGCAAGTAGAGTTGCATTTCGATGTGCATGCAATTTTGCACGCCAATTTGCATTTTGACTGACATGTCGATTTGCATCTCGATTTGCGGTTCGATTTGCCTTCCCAAAAGCCAATTACAGGACAACCGCAGGACAATTTGCGGGATAACCCACGGGACAACCCAAGGGAAAACCACAGGACACATTATTGGCTAACCATGGGAAAACGCAGGACAACCCACGGGACAACCACGGGATAATCACGAACAACCGCGGCGCAACCCACGGGACAACCCAGGGGACGACCCACGGGACAACCCACGGGTCAACGACGAGACAATCACATGACATCCCGCGGGAAGCGGGACAACCCACGGGACAACCCTCGAGACATTCTCGTTACAACCCAGGGGACAACCTACGGGACAACCACGGGGCAATCCACGGGGCAATCCACGGGACAACCGCGAGGCAACCCACGGGATAACCACGGGACAGCTACGGGCCAACCCACGGGACGATCCAGGAGGCAACACGGAGCCCCACTTCCAGACATTTTGCAGAACCTTTGTCCGATTCGGCCCTAGCAGCCCGCCGCCCGCGCGCACGAAATGGACCGAATCCGTAACCGATTTCCCGGTTGGGCCCATTTCGCACCCCTACCCGGAAAATTTGTCATATTCGGGCCTCGCTGGAGGCCTCTTTGGGCATCTTCTGGGGGCTTCTTGGATCCCCTTAGGCTTCGGTATTTGGGGCTGTCTTCGATTGGTCTTGGAAAATCTCGCAGCCATCGCGGAGAGGTATTCGGCCATCTTGGAGCCGTCTGAAGGCCGAAAAGGGCGCCAGAAGAACAAGTAGGGAGCGAGGTTCTACCTGGGTCTGCGTCGAGGGGGAGTCGCATTAAGAAGATTACAGAAAACGCATCAGTCATTTAACACGCCTGCTAACGCTCCACTATCGTGCGAGCGAGTCGTTGGATTCGTGGTTCATTGCCACTGGCTCGAGTCGCCAGCTGTTCATTTGAGAATGCGGCTGCGTAGTTCGCCCAATAGGGCCGCCTGCGGATGCAGCCTACTTCTCCAGCGAAGTCCTTGGGATGCCTGCGGCTGACCACCCCACCTGCCACAGACCCGCGCGCAGTTGTGCGGCCGTTCAGGACGCTGCTCTTGGCCTACGAGCCGCTTGTCGAAGAGGTCGAAACGCTCTCGAGGGCAATGCAGATCGTCCGCCAGAAGCTGCTCTTAATGGCCACGCCCCAGGAGGGCCCTGGGCCTGTGCACAGGGCTCTGGAGGCGCACCCAGGCGCGTTGGAGACCATCGTGGCGAGGCTGATCGACAGGATCTGGGGCCTTAACTCGTGTATCGCTCGGTGTTCCTATGATATGGTTGTTTGGGTAATGGTCTGGGCCACTGGGCGAGAGGACGGGAGAGATCCTGGGTAACAGGACGGGCCTACGTACGGCCTATCGGGCTCCAGCCGAGAAACTCAATGAACTCGCGAGGCGGGAGTCACGGCAGGCCAACAGGGGCGAGCCAGCCCGTAAATTTTGAGCCCGGGTTTTCTTCTTCTTCCTTCTCCTCCGCGTCCTCCCAATTTCTGATAAGGAGCTCCATGTGCGGCCTCAGTGGGAGGGTCCGCGTGGCGCCGCCGTCCACTGCGACGCACCCTCCCGCGTTTTGTGGCGCCGCAGGCAGCTCCACCTACGGCCCCAGTGGGGCACCACTCACGAGGATCGTCTCCCCATGGGGAACTCCACCCACGGCCCCAGTGGGAGGGTCCGCATGGCGGCGCCAGCCGTTTCGGCGCACCCCTCTCACGATGATCGCACCCCCACTGGGAGTTCCACCTACGGCCGGAGTGGGACAGCTTGCATGCGTGCTTCCGCCAGTTTCGGTACACCCTCACACGAGTTCCAGCTGAGAAGTCTATATGCATGATTCCGCGCATTTCGGCGTCCCACTCACATGTTTCGTGTCCCGTGGGAGGCTCAGCATACGGCCCCAGTTCCCCCCTGTTTCGACGCATCTCTCACACGGATCATGCATAGAGAGGTTCATTAGTAACGTTACATCAAGTTGCTAAGGGTTAGTTCCCTCGCCATGCAATTTTATCCAAGCGCTGCGGCTGATGGTGCGTGAGCCCTCCATGGATGGGCAATTACAAACCGCTCGCTTCGGGCGGGAGCAGGCATGTGCAGGGCCGTATGGTGAATTTGCGAGCTTTGGTGTATGTGAATATGTGCCCTGTTCCATGACCAGGCGATGCTTTGATCATAGGTACGGCGTTCTTGCTATTCGTTTGATGACTCCGCCTCCTTCCTTTTTTCTGCCGCCCTCCTCCTTATCCCTTTGACACTCAAACCACTCACACTCGAACTCGTATCAATACTCACCCACACGCAGATCTCAGGCTCATTCGCACTCAGACTCACACTCAGTCTGACATTCATACCCATGCATACTCATACCGTTCCTACCCAGATCCACTCACACATATACCATCCACATTCAGTTCCACCCATACTGAGACTTGCTGATACTCATACCCAACCACAAAGAGTAAACTTATACTCAGACCCATTCGTACTTTGATTCCTTCATAGTCGAAGCCCATGCTCATACAAACTCATACTCTGACATCCATGGCCACAGCGATGTAGCAGGCATGGCATTTGGACCACCAAGGGTGGGGCGACCATGTAATTGGGGCATCTCACGGGGGAGCCGCCACAAGGTGTTACGTTGGCCTTTTCGCGGCCAGACTTAGGGGTTTCGTAGACGGAACAGCTGTTTAGCACTTCCCGTCAGCCCCCCCACGCCACTCCCCCTGGCTGCTTTCGTTTCAGAGCCACAGGATCACCGCTCGCGGTGCAGCAGGCGTGGCATCTGGGCACCCCAAGGGGGAGGTGCCGGGGGCTTCTACACGGGCCCGTCCGCGGCCAGGCTGTGGTGGTGTCTCAGGCGAAGCGCATTTCTTGGTACTTCCTCACTCCCTTCTTTTGTTCTCTCTCGTTCTCTCTCGTTCTCTCTTTCTTTCTGTCTCTCATCACACTCAGATCAGTCACATTCAGACTCACTCGCACTCAGATGCACTCACACTCAAACTCACTAAACTCAGAGCACTCATACCCAGACTCATTCGCACTCACACTCAGACTCACTGACACTCATACACACTCATAGTCAGACTCACTAACACTCATATTCACTGATACTCGTACTCACTCATACTCAAGCCCAATTTGCTGTGTGCTCATCGAGCTGTAGCAGGCGTGGCATTGGAGCACCCCATGGAGGCGCCGCCAGGGGTGGGGATACTTGCCTGTTCGCGTCCAGGCTGTTGGGACGTCTCAGGCGGTTTGCTTGCTTGGCGGCTCCGACCCCTTTCCTTTGAGAGCCCCACGATCACCACGACATGGCAGGCGTGGCATTTGGGCACCCCAAGGAGGAGCTGCAAGGGGGGAGGACGTTCGCCCGCTCGCGCCCAGATCGTTGCGATGTCTCAGGCGGCTTGCTCGTTTGGCGGCCCAGACTTCTCTCTGCCCAGAGCCCCATGCTTGTCGCGATGCAGCAGGCGTGGCATTTGAGCACCCAGGAGATGAGCCGCCAGGGGGGACATTTGCCCAGTCGCGCCCAGAGTGTTGGGATGCCTCAGGCGGTTTGCTCGTTGGTCGGCTCAGACTTTTTTGAGAGCCCCATGGTCATCGCGATGCAGCAGGCGTGGCATTGAGGCACCCCCAGGGAGAAGCCGTCAGTGGTCGGGTCATTCGAGCGTTTGCGCCCAAGGTGATGGGATGTCTGAGGCGGTTTGCTTGTTTGGCGGCTCCGAGCCAGGGGGGGAGGACATTTGCCCAGTCGCCTTCGGAGTGTTGGGATGCCTCAGGCGGTATGCTCGTTGGCCGGCTCAGACTTTTTTGAGAGCCCCATGGTCATCGCGATGCAGCAGGCGTGGCATTGAGGCACCCCCAGGGAGAAGCCGTCAGTGGTCGGGTCATTCGAGCGTTCGCGCCCAAGGTGATGGGATGTCTGAGGCGGTTTGCTTGTTTGGCGGCTCCGACCCCTTTCCTTTGAGAGCGCCACGTTCACCGCGACATAGCAGGCGTGGCATTTGGGCCCCCCAAGGGGGGGCGTCAGTGGTGGGATCATTTGAACGTTCGCGCCCAGATCGTTGCGATGTCTCAGGCGGTTTGCTCGTTTGGTGGCTCTTCTCTCTGTCCAGAGCCCCATGCGTGTCGCGATGCAGCAGGCGAGGCATTTGAGCACCCCGAGAGCGGAGCAGCCAGGGAGGGAAACACTTGCCCGTTCGCGCCCACAGTGAGCGGACTGTGGGGAGGTCTCGAGCGGCTCGCTCCCTTGACGCTCCAGCTCCTCGCTGTCGAGGGCCTCGTGACCACTTCGGCACAGCAGGCGTCACACTCGGACACCACAAGGAAAAGCCTCCCGCCAAGGGGTGTTGCACTGGCCTCGCTCCTAGGTTGTTGGGATGCCTCGAGCGGTTCGCTGGGTTCGGCACCCCCGACTCCTCTCCGTTCAGAGCCCCATGATCACCGTGGTGTAGTAGGCACAACTTGTGTGCTCCCCAGTAGGGGGCCCGCCAGGGGGTGTTACCCTAGCCAGTTCGCGCCCAGATCGTGGGACCTCTCAGGGAAAACGTTGGCTTCAGCACCCCCGACCCCTCTCCTTTCAGAGTCCCAAGATCATCCCGATGCAGCAGGCATAGCAATTGGGCACTCCAAGGGGGAGCCGTCAGGGAGCGCTCATTCGCCACAAGCTAATAGTCTCTCACTCAGACAATCGCGGATGGAAGGGCCAGGCATTGAGATGAACATATGGCGATCTCCGCGTCAAATATTTGTTTGAGCCACGTGATCACCACTATGTAGCAGACGTGGCAGTCGGACATTACCAGGGGGATCCGCCATGGTAGACCCAGTCATGCTGCCATGCCTAGCCCCCTTACATTCGAAGCCGTTCGAGGCGAAAAGTTCTGATGCACCAGCGTCTTACCTTTCTTTCGGGCATGCCTCCCTTCCCACTTCCCTTCCGCAGCAGCCGGACTTGACGCAGCAGCGCTTGCGGTCCCAGCCCCGGCTGCGACGACGCAACGGACAGGACGACAACACGACGACGACGACGACGAGGAAGTCGAGGGCGAGGACGAGGACGACGGCGACGACCAAGCAGACTAGCCAGACCGTCCAGTCAGACCAGCCAAGTAGACCAACAAGACCAGCCAGGTATATTACCAGACCAACCAGACCAGCCAGCCGTTCGGACCAGCGAAGCACAGGCCAGACTAAGCAGACCAACCTGCCTGGACCAAGCAGACTCGCCAGATTAGCCAGCCAAACTAGCCAGGTAGACCAACCAGAACAGGCAGACCAGCTAGCCGGTCAGACCAGCGAAGCCCAGACCAGACTAAGCAGACCAACTTGCCCGGACCAAGCAGACCAGCTAGACCAACCAGTCAGACCAGCCAGGTACCAACCAGACCAGTTCAAGTTTTAAGCTGGAGGTTGAGTCCCAAGCTTTAAGGTTGCTATGTTTAAGCTTGGCGTCCCGCCGTGCGTTAGTCTGGCTGGTCTGACTGGTCTGGTTGGTCTGTGTCGTGGTGGAGGTGCAGCAACACCCTCCCTCCCTCTCTCCCTCTCTCCCTCTCTTCCTCCCTTCCAAAGAAACTCAACGTAAAAGAACACATTGCGCCAGACCAGCAAGACCGGCCAGACCAGAAAAGCATTGCTCCGAGGGAGGGGGAAGTTCACACGCGGTAGTCGTCGTACCAGCCCTCGTTTTCGTAATGGAGGATGAAGATGAAAAAATGACCGGGGGTCGTGTTCACGCGGCGGCGCCCGGGATGATGATTAGAAAAAACCGGCCCCAGGCTGGGAAACTATTTTTGAATCGTCCCCCCCCCCCCCGCCGTCCTCGGGCGCGCGCCCCCCCCACGGTGGAAGTTTCCCTGAGCTTCGTCGCAGGGTAGCTCTGCATGTGTGGTCGTCACAGGCGGGCGCTGTCTTTGACCCTCGTGAAAGGGGAGCGCTGCTTGCGTGGTCGTCACAGGTGTGCGCTTTCCTTGCGCCTCGTCACAGGGGAGCGCTGCCTGTGTGGTCGTCACAGGCGGGCGCTTTCCTTGCGCTTCGTCACAGTGGAGCGCTGGCTATGTGGTTGTCGCAGGCGGGCCCTGTCTTTGAGTCTCGACACAGGGGAGCACTGCTTGTATGGTCGTCACAAAGGCGGGCCCTCTCATTCAGATTCCAAACAAGGGGACGCTGCCTGTGTGGTCGTCACAGAGGCGGGCCCTCCCCTTGTGCCTCGTCACAAGGGAACGTTGCCTGCGTGGTCGTCGCAGGCGGGTGCTTTCCTTGCGCCTCGTCACAAGGGAGCGCTGCCTGTGTGGTCGTCGCAGGCGGGCCTTTCTTTTTGAGCCTCGACACGGGGAGCCCTGCTTGTGTGGTTGTCGCAGAGGCGGGCCTTCTGTGACGCCCACACAGGCGAGCCCTGCTACTGAGCGTTCCCCCCCGGTGTGGGAAACTATTTTTTAATCGTTCCCCCTTCTTTTTTTTCTTAATCGTCATCCCACATTAGTTTCCGTCGTCTTGGTCGTCATCGTCTCTCTCGTCGCACTCGTGATCCTACTCGTCGTGCCCATCCGTGGTCTGCCTTCTGTCTGCCTTGTGTTCTTTGTCCTCTCTCCCCCTCTCATCGTCGTTGTCCATTCGGCTTATGTTCAATCGGTTTCCGATTCAATCCGAACCAGACCAGCCAGGCACCAGCCAGACCAACCAGCCAAACCAGATCGGCCAGACCAGACACAAAAATAACTGGAAAGTAAACATTGCAACGCAAACTAATTGCAAAATGCCAGAACCTGCAATGCAAGAGGACATCCCAAGCTAAGGTTTCAGCACTAAGCTCAAACCAGACCAACCAGACCAGATGCAACACAACTGCAATGCAAAGAAACTGTTTGTCGGTTGTCGTAGTGGTTGGCGCTACCTCCCCTTGGCCTCCTCTAAGCCACTCTCGCCCGAATCCAAAGCTAAGGCTTCGGGACTAAACTCAAACCAGATTAACCAAGCCAGCCAGACCAGATGCAACACAAACGGCAATGCGAACGCAACTGCAAATCAAACACACATTGCAATGCAAACAAACTGTGTTTCGGTGGTCGTAGTGGTTGGCGCTGCCTCCCTGGACCTCCCCTGAAGCACTCTCGCCCGAATCGTAAGCTAGAACTTCAGCATTAAGCTTACACCAGACCAACCAGACCAGCCAGACCAGACGCAAAACTAATTGCAACGCAACAAATCATGCAGAGCACCAAACCTGCAATGCACATGCACATCCCAAGCTAAGACTTCAGCACTAAGCTCAAATCAGACCAACCAGACCAGATGCAAACCAAACGGCAAAGCAAACGCACGTGCAAAGCAAACACACCCGCAATGCACAACACATTGTTTGTCGGTTGTCGTAGTTGTTGGCGCTACCTCCCTGGACCTTCCCTAAACCACTCTCGTCCGAATCCTAAGCTAAGGCTTCAGGATACGCTCCAGCCAGACCAAGCAGACCAGCCAGACCAGACGCAAAACAAACTGCAGTGCAAAAAGACGGCAAAGCACAAACAATTGTCGTAGTGGTTGGCGTTGCCTCTCTGGACCTTCCCTAAACCACTCTCGCCCGAGTCCTAAGCTGAGACTTCAGAACTGCTCAAACCAGTCCAACCAGACCAGCCAGGCCATATCTGAAGCTTCAAGTTCAAGCTGAAGGCTGAAGTTTGAGGCTTGCTCTTTGAAAGCTTGGTGTCCCGCCGTGCGCTACACGGCTGAGAAGTTGATTCGGGCCCAGTCGTACTAAATCAGCCGTACCCGAACCTCTCGCTCTCACGCACACACATACATGGATTCGTTCGTTGTTTACCCGTGTTGAATTCAGTGGAGGCCCATGCCAAGAAACACCCTGCTTGCCTCCAGAGTGCCCTGGGTTTCTTGGGTTTCAATGGTTTTGCTATGGGCAGCGTGACGTCCCCACACCAAAATTCAATGGACGTCCTGGGGTCTCAGGGTTGGGTTTCTTGTGGAAGGTGTCTTGTGGACTGACCTCCACTGTATTCTGGTTCTTCGGCAGTTTGCGCTGCCTGTCGCCTTGGGCTTGTGAGCGCGCGCCGCTCGAGGTGGAGATTTAGAAGCGGGGGGCTTGAGCCCAGACTGTGGAAGAGATGCTTCAGGGGCCCCCTCGGTGCGTCAGCGGCGAGAGCAGCGGCGGGGGAGCGGCCTGAGCAGCGGCGAGGGAGCTCCTACAGTCGAGGCTGATTAGCAGGTCGACCCTGCCAAATCAAGGGTACCCATGCCTTCTACATTCCTATGGCAACGTGGCGTCGGAAGGGTCTTGTGTCCTCTCGCGTGTCCTCTCGTCCTCTCCAATCCAACTCTACTATACCGTTCCCACTCCTACCCCTCGCCTGTTGGTAGCCGTTATGGCACGAGCCCTAAGCCGTAGCGGAGCCTCCTTCACGGTGGTCGGGCGTCCCTCACGGTGGTCGAGCGTCCCTACCAGACCGAGAGTGAACCCATGTTCTGCATAGTGCGCCCCCGTTTTGTGCTGCGCACTTGGAGCTCTCTTGGGGCCCTCGTAGGCTCGTTGGGGGTCTTCTTGGACAGCCTCGAGCCTTTCATCCATTCGCCCTTCTCCTCCCCCTCCTCCTTTTCTCAATCCTGCCTCCTCCCTCCCCCGTCCGCACCAGCGCTTCGCGTTGGTGCTTTAAGCAGTTGGGGCAATGACACCCGGCTGCTTTTCAATTGAGAGATGTGGATAGGACGGAGGATGGAGCATGGAGGACGGAGGGGGAACCCCCGTTGAGGATGGAGGGCTTCCGTCAGCAGACCGCCTCTCTGCGGGGCCGTTTCGTGGCGCAGCACGGCCTGGCCCTGCTGCAGGCGCGTGCGGCACTGCAGCTGTGGCTGAACCGGCAGGAGGCCGCCGGGTTCGAAAGGGACGCCCCCCACGCCACAGAAATCTATACGCAGACACCCGCCAGTTTGTTTTTCTGTGCCTTCAGGGAGGGCGTCGGTGTACCCGCCAGTGAGTTTTTCTGTGCCTTCAGGGACGGCTTCGGTGTGCTCGCCGGTGAGATTTTCTGTGCCTTCAAGAAGGGCGTCGGTGCATGGCATCGGTTGCTTTCAGTGGCGACCTGTACACCGCCACCTTTACCTGAGACCCGTGAACAATCCGCAGGGTGGTGTTTTTATTGACTGGCGGATTCCCCAAATGGGCCCGTCTTTGAGTAATCGAATCGTCGACCTCTCACCCGTGGCGATAGCTGGTGGAAGACTCGTTGAAATGGGGCGGGAGTATGACGATTTCGTGCGGGCTGGCGGGCTTTGCAGGCGGATGCCAGCGAAAGCTGGCGGAAGTAAGCGTTGCACTGCTTCCTCCCAGGAGGGACCAACGCCGGCCTGAGTGGGGTTTCTGGACTTGCCCAGATGTTGACCCGCCAGTGCCCCCCCCCCCCCCCACGACCCCAATAGCTGAGGAGAAACATACGCAGGCTTTGCCGGCTCTGCCTGCTGCGCTTCGCGTGCCATGATCCGCGTCTTCCCTTCCCGCTCTTCTGCGTCATCCATCCATATGCTTCTTCTCCTCCCTCATCCATCCCTCCTCCCTCCCCGTCCCCCCCTTTCGACTCTTCCTCTTTCGCCGTCCATTTTCACCCACCCTCCTTCCTCCCCTTCATCTTCACCCCACTTGCTCTTCCCACTCCCCTTCCTCCCTCCTCCTCCTTCTCATCTCTCTCCCTCCTCTTCCTTCTCGTTCCGACTCCCTGACTTCTGTAGACATTTCGAAGGGGTTTACTTCCAAGAGTTGCGTTCTTCGGAATTCTGGCACAGGCAGATATGATGTGAATTGCCAGTCAAAGTGTTTCGCATGACATTCGGTTCATGGATTTGTAGATTAGGTATGCTGGCATGCGATTCATCTGAGTTGAAGGGGTTTGCTCTCTCCGTAGTTCTTTCTCAAGCCTTTGGCGTATGGGCCCCTCCGCTCTGGTGGCATCCCCTGTCCGTCAGTTGGCCACCATCGGAGGGGTCCTGGCATTGAGGCAGCTCGACCGTCTTCTCGACAGTACAATGTTCTCGATTGGGGCGGCCGATCCGCCCACGTGGGCCGACTTTGAGGAGTTGGCGAGTTGCTCGGAGACGCGTTGTCGCACTCTGATCCAGGAGGTCGATGCCTTCAGCTGCGCCGGCTCCGGCGGGCCAGAGGGCGAACCCAGTCCGAGTGTGGTGTGCCCCCCCTTGCGAGGCGGCGGCCCCACCAGAGGCCGACGTCTACAGTCTCCTTGAGAAGGTCTGCGCGAGCTTCCTCGGTCACCTGGCCTGGCGCGCCCTGACGGCTGCCGTCGGCCGCCTGGCCCGCTGCCGTCGTCGGGATGGCGCTGGTCGCGGGGAGACCGTCCCGAGGGCACCTGGCTCGCTTGCGCCGGTGGGACGGGACCGCCGTCGGGGCCGAGGAGTTCTGGCCTAGGCTGGTACCAGGCAACTTGCTCGCGGAGCATTATACGGACGACAATGTGTGGCATGAGCGCCTTCTGGTCTATCCCTGTCCGAGCAAGCACTATTACATCAGGACTCCGGACGGGGACCTCTATGAGGATGTGCTGTGTAGAGACCCATCTACTGGGCCATCGCTGGCGGTGCTCCTGGACGACCTGGGCGCCAACTCCGTGGTGCCGGTGGGGTCGTTCTATCGTTTCGGGACCTACCCGGACAACGACGACTTATGATGGACTCTTGTGTGCAGGCACTTCGAGACGCTGGTGTCGATGACCAGGTGGAGCCTCCTAGTGAGATCGCGGGGGCTGATGGAGACCGCCGGCGTTTTGCACCACGCCGTCTGCGCGGCAAGCAACCCCCCCGTGCTCCTGGGCGTGGGTTCGGCGGCGCGGGCCCGGGGCGCGGCCCAGACGGGGCCGGCGGTCCGCCACTCCCCCCTCCGGGGGGTTCCCCTCCGTCTGAGGGCGCGGGAGCGGGCGCGGGCCATGAGGTGGAGGCGTTGGGCGATGAAGGCGAGGGCGAGATCTTCGTCACTGCGGAGAGCGTCGCCGGCGTCCGCGAGGGCACGGAGGTGATGTTCAAGGAGTCAGATGTCATTCGACGAGATCGGACCCTTGTGAGGTTGTCGCCAGGGGTGTTTGTCTTTGCTCGTCGCGTTCCAGGCGGCACGAAGACCCCGAAAGTCGCCTCTCCTCGCGCGGGCCCTGGGGACTCCGCCTTGAAGCCCATCGCCGAGGAGGGCCTGCTGGATGCCCGCATCCTGGCACCCGTTCGGTACGACGCGGGCGGGAGGCGCTGGGATGATTTCGCGAGCTCGGTTGGCAGGATGCATGCAGAGCCCGTGGAGGACTTCCCCTTTGGAAGGCGAGAGGTCCACAATGTGGTTGATGCGCTATGTTCGAGACCATGGAGGAACCTTCGATGGTCGACAGACGAAGTGGGCCCTCGAACACAATGTGGATCGCAACGGCACGCCGTTTTTGATGCACGACCTCCTGGGCCTGGCGTTAGACCTCGGAGTGTGCCAGGATCAGCTGGATATCGCCAACCTTGGGTCTTTCGAGGTCACCAGCAGGATGTATCAGTTATGCGAAGAGACAACAGGCCCCCTGCAGGTGGAGGGCCTGGAGCACTACCTGGGCCGCGACCGCGCAGGTGGTCTGAAGCGCGGGGTAGCTCTCTGCCCTGCCCTTGCCAAGAATGCAACGGACATGCAGCGCGAAGAGACGGAAGCGCTGAAGCAGCGTCGCAAGGCGAGAGAGGAGGCTGCTGCCCTCAGAGCGAAGGGCGGGGGCAAGCAAGATGCCTCGAAGTGATGCGCAGCACGGGGGATCGCCTCGGCCCACGCGCTGCGCGCAGAGGCTCTCTTCATCGGCGCGAGGCGGCGCCTAAGGCGGGTGACGGCTTGTTCCCGCTGGCTGCGCCCCCGCCGCTGCCGCGACGCGAGGGTTCTTTTTCGCCAGGCACCTGCCGTCGGCTGGGCATGCGCATCGCATGTCACGACATGTTTCGTCAGTCAATGAGTGCACTCAATTTGCTTGCTGGATAAAACAAACCTCAGGGGTCGTCGCCCGGGCCGCAGGGACTTTCCAACCTTGGCTTGAAGGATCTTTTTGATTTGCATCGGGACCTGGCCCCTGTCCCCCCTGAATGAGGAAGCCGTGCGAGAGCTTCCGGGATGCGCGCCGTCGGGCTACTCGCCGGAGCCCGACAGCTGCACGGTTCGGCCCTATGCCCGGGAATCCATGAGTCGTCCCGCTTGCGGGAACAAGCCGGTGGATGTCTTGACCACGGCCCCCCCGGATGTCTTTGGACTTTTACACGCTGAGCCTGGCTCGCGCCGGGTGCGGCAGGAAGACGAGTTGCGTGTTTTTTTCGCGAGCTTGAAGAAGTTCCCACTCTCTACAAAGATGCGGCGTTTTCTAGCCAGCCGTCTTAGCATGTTGAATTTGCGCGGGATGGTCTCGAGCGAAGCCTCTTCAGGCTGAATCTCAGACGGACTGCAAGGGTCTCCCCATTTTACCGTGAAGAAGAAAGACGAGCAATAATTGATCATCTTGGAGTGCAGGTGGTCTAATTTACATTTCAAGGACCCCCCACATGTTCATCTTTTCTCGGGGGCTAGCTTCTGCGGGGTAGATGCTGAGCCAGCGGGGGGGGGGGGGGATTTTTTCTCGGGCGTTGATGTGCAGAACGCTTTCTATCAACATGAGATGCCAGAATGGTCATCGTATTATTTTGGGTTGGATGCTGTCGTGGCAAAGGATCTATGTGTCACTAGCATAGAGGGCGTCTCCGTGGACCGAGACACTGAGTTGTTCCCGCTGCTTGAGGTTGTCCCGATGGGTTGGGAGTGGGCCCTGCGCATCGTTCAGCGCGCCCATGAACGCGCCCTCGAGCAGGACCCTGCGCTTGAAGAGAGCCGGCGCGCGAACGACTTTCGACCCCCCCCTCCTGCGCGCGAGCAGGCCTTCTACGAGCTCTATGTCGATAATGCGTTGGCGGGGGGGCACAATGCAGAGGGGGCGGGTGGGATGGGGAAGCGAGCGGCCGAGCTGTCGGAGAATGCTGGCTGCGCCGCGCGCGATTTCAGCGAGGCATCAGTCAGTGCGCATGAGCACTCTGGGCGTCGAGCAAGATGGCAAGCATCAGACGGTGCACCTGTCTACGACTCGCGATTGGAAGTTGTGGTTTGCCATCCAGGTATCGCTGAAAAACAAGGTGGCGATCGCCAGTGAGCAGATGGAACGCCTCCTGGGGCATTTCACGTTCATCGCCTTCCTGAGGCGCGAGCTTTTGTGTTCCCAGAGGGCGTGTTACGATTTCGCGTCGGCCAGGTTGATGGGGCCCCGGTCCTTTCGGCGCAGCGTGGGGCGCGATTTTAAGATGGCGCAAGGCCTGTTGATCTTTGCTCGGAGGCACTTGGGGCCTGCTTGGGACTCGAGGGTGACCGCTTTCGACGCCTGCGAGAGCGGGCACGCGACGGTGGAGAGCACCGCCAATGTAGAGCAGATTCGGCAGATCGGCGCCTGGCACGAGCGCTGGCGATACAAAAGAGAGACCGCGTTGGAGACCCCCTTGTCTACCAGCCTCGGTCGGCAACGGGCCTTCTTGGACATCGCAGAGGAAGAGCACGAGGATCCGAATGATAACGATCCAGATGAGAACCCTGTGTTCCCTGAGGTGCCCCACATGTTCGCAGAGGGCCTGACCTGGAATACCACAAATTACCAGCCCATCTTCAATCCAGAGGCTATCCACCTTTCGGAGATGCGGGGTTTTCTTGGCACCATTCGTAACGACTCTTGGGTGATCAGTCCGGGTGGCCCAATAATCATATTGTTATTGGGGGCAACTTGGGGCTGATGCTATCTCTGACGAAGGGGCGATGTCGTAACCCTACCCCCCTGATGTTGCATCGT